CGTTTATGGTGGGGCTTTGGTCAGAAAGCATGCAGGATATCAGTAATTTTAAACTGTTTAATGGAGAACTGAAATGATGCAATCTGGGTACAGCATGGCATGGGGTGGGGACTGAGTACAGGAAATGTTAATATTCAACAGAATTGCTTCAGGAACTCCTAATGTAAAGTAAAAAAGAATTGTGGGAAACAGGAGAGCAGTCTGTCAGAGTATACAGCTTCTGAGGGACAAAAGGTACTTCCACTCCATGAGGGTTTGTCATGAGACAATATTTACTGCGTGCAGAATATTATCAATCTGTCTTCTAGTGGTTAAGTGACACGCATGTGAACAAAAAGAAACGGCTTACACCCTCAGCTGTTAGCAATAATGTTGATCAATGACATTTAAAGACCTCAGTTAGTGCTTCTAAATTAAGCCCATAAATTTAGCAAATGCTAATCCACTAATTAATTTAAAAATAGCAAAAGCTCTAAAGCACTAATTAAGAAATTAGTTTCCCCATTAGTGTTTTAGGGGAACTGTGCCCACCACTGGTAAAAACAAAGAATTAATTAATAGGTAAGGGATTGTGCTAACGGGGTAACCAGTCATGCTAACATTTTGCTAACAGGGCTAACATCATGCTAACATCCTGCTAACAGGGCTAACATCATGCTAACAGGGCTAACATCATGCTAACATCCTGCTAACAGGGCTAACATCATGCTAACATCATGCTAACATCATGCTAACAGATGCCTGATTGAGCTGCATGTGTTTTTGTGATCAAGTTATTCGAGTGACTTCATGAATAGTCTCTACTCTAAACTTTAAATTAGGTTTAAATTATTATTATCAGGATTATTTGTTGATTTCCTTCTAGACTCTTACTTTGCTCAGTGTGTTTTATTAAGCTTGAAGTGAGATAAAGTTTGTATCAATAGGCCTGCTTTATTTGAGTGGTTTAAATAAATATTTACATTCAGTTCATTTTACACATTTTATTAACAAATATAAGATTTTATGCACTATGTTTGTCATTTAAATATTTTTAATGAATAAACTTGGATTATTAAACAGATATTTGATGTGTTTTATGTATTTAAAATGTCTGGAGTTAATTTTAAATTACATAGTGTGGGTTGTCCTGCATGCTGGGTCATCTAAACTGTTTATGGGTCTGAATTTATGTTTGTTTTTTTTACCACAAGTTTTGATTCCAGGCTGATTCTTTTCTTTGTATCTAAACAAACAAAGAACAAAACACATAAGAATAAATGAAACCCAAACAGAAGGTAAAATATGTCTGTTTAAGGCACAACATGATGATACTCACACACTTCATGTGGAGTCTGCTCCATAATCCAGAGGAAAGGGAGTCCTCTGCTGCAGACATCATGTATTACAGGTGTTCAGACTTCTTGATAATAATAAAATAAAAATGAAGACAATTAAATCTAATACTAATAAAGAATTTAAAGCATATGAGAATTCAAGATGTCCACCACAAATAATTCTATTTTAAGACATATTGAGATGAAATTTGTTGTGGAGTAGCTAGAATGAACCCATGCTGACTGCCAATGAAAATCCCAAAATAAGCTAAAAGCTAATGCTAAATTTACAAAGGACAATAATTCAGCCATTCTTGAACATATAATATTGTATCGTGATAAATCTGCTTTAAATCTTTAAGGTTATCAATTAAAAAATATTTAAAGATTTTAAATAGTTTTCCAAAGCTTTACATAAACTCATCTCATCTTCAGGAGTTTCAGGTGGTCCCTCATTTCAGTCTAATCTGTAAGTTTTAACAACAAATGTTTTTAAAGCTGCAGGAACTCTGATCTTCAGCTGCAGATGATGGAAATAAACAAAGACGAGTCTCAGAAGAGAGGAGAACCCTGATTCTGTTCAAGATWTCTTGTTTTTACAGAATAAATAACCTGTAACCAGATAATAACTAGATGTTTCAGTGTGTCTATCTTCAGCTAAAAAGAAAGGAGTATTTTCATGTTTTTGTGTTTATTTTTAGAGGTTTTACTGGACTCTGTGTGCCTGTTTACAGCTGCAGCCTTCAGTTCAGAGGAGCAGGAGGTGAGCGGCTGCTCCTGGTTTTCTATTTCCTCCTCTGTGTTTCTGCAGCTGCTGCCCGTCACTCATCCACTCGCTTAGCAGAAGCTTGGAAAGAAAAAGGTCCCTGGTTCTTCTTCGTGGGTCAGACATGGAGATAMAAGCTCTGGTCTGTGTGTTCCTGCTGGCTCTGCTCAACACCGGTGAGTTCAGGATCCTTCTTTAAAACCTGACCTGAGCAGGTTTTCTTTGCTCCTGGTTCAGACCTGAACTGAGACTGTTTAACTCAAACTGTTCTCCACTGTCTGCATCTGATCGAAAAGATTACAGATAAACCTTAAGGTTTGTTGGTGTGTGTGTGTGTGTGTGTGTGTGTGTCACAGAGTGTTGGTGCAGGAACGAGGAGGAGCGTCTGATCAACCACCTGTTCAAAGAAAAAGCCTACAACAGGGAGCTGCGGCCTGTTGAACGGCAGCAGGATGTTGTTGAAGTTTATCTGGCCATGACTCTCTCCAACCTTATCTCCCTGGTAAATAACATCTTCTTTACTAATAAACTGTTCCTTCCAATAAAAAACCCTGATTGGTTTAGAAGGCACGAGGTAAACGAGCTTTGTGTTTTCCTTTATGTTCTTGTTGTAAACAAAGCTGCTGATCAAAGACAAGTTGGCCAAACAGTCTGGACAGACATTTTGTTTTCCAGGTTTACATCAGAGATATGCGCAAGTCTAAGTCAAGTCTCTTGACTTCAAGTCCAAGTCTCACTGCATGTATSACTTAACTGGCAGTTTGTTCGAAGGCATTCTAACTTTACTAGATTATATTCTATAATACTATGTTTTAATCAAATGTTAAAACATACTGTAATGTTATGTTTTACTGTTTTAAAAATACAGATAAGGTTAAGGTTGAAATAACAAAAGCCTTTAGAGTATTAACTGTATTTTGCACTTGTAGTCTTACAAGAACACACAAAGGCCAAACCAGGCTGTWTATTCTWTTGTATATCACAATAGATCAYGTGTCTATTGTGATATACAGTAACCAGTAATTATTGTAATTACTGTAATTAAATCTTGCCATTGACAAAGAACAAATCCAAAAAGTCTGCTGCTGATTTTACAATAAAATACCAGAATTTTTTTAAATGCATAAAGCACGTCAGTGAAGATGATGAACCACAATCCTTAAAGTAAAAGGGCTGCACAAGTCATCACAAAAACAAATTTTGGATTTGGACTCCACACACTTTGCATTTTGCCAGTCTCCTGTCACTGTGTTGAATAAAGTCTCTGTAAGCAAAGTTTGTAATGAATGGCAGCAGAGCTACTGCAATGTGCCTGCCATGCTGAAGCTCTGTTTGTCACGTAGCGTACACATCATTAACATTGGACGGCGCTGGCTTCTCCCATTCTCAGGTGATGGGGATCACCCAGTACACATCTCTGGGTGTACTCCCCAGTACACATCCAGATGGATGTGTACTGAGGAAGTGAGCATCGTGAGCCGAGCAGTGAAAAGACTTGCATTGTTTGCAAGTCTCAAATCACGAGTCCAAGTCAAGTCTCAAGTCTCTAATAGTAGGGACTTAAGTATACGACTCAAGTCTAAGTCTGAGTCACGAGTCCCCACCTCTGGTCTACATGCTCTGATGGTGTCCAGTATTCTGTGTGAAAAGTACAGTTCAGACTGTGATCAGTGTTTTCTTCTCCATCCTGTAGAAAGAAGTCGATGAGACGCTGCTAACAAATGTGTGGCTCGATCATGTGAGTTAGTTACGTTATTTTCAGTCTTAAAAAAAATCTTCAGTTTTTTGTGAAATGTATGAATGTGTGTCTCAGACATGGACTGACTACAGGCTGTCATGGAATAAGACAGAGTTTGATGGCATCGACAYACTTCGTCTACCGCCCAGCATGGTGTGGCTGCCAGAGATTGTACTGGAGAACAAGTAAGATTATTTTAATTTTTTTTACTCAATTGCTCAGAACAAAATAATTTCTTTAAACGTATGTTTGAAGAGCAATCTGACAGACTGGATATATGTCTTGTTTTTTTTTTATTCTCTGATAAAACCAGAAAAGTCAGATTCCAATTGAAACAAACACCATGTCAACRCTAACATTAAAACGTCTTCACACTAACCCTGGCAAGCCAACCTGATAACCCAAGTAAAACCTACATTTCCTAATTGCTAGYAAATCAACATGCTTAACCTAATTCTACATGCTAACCCAAGCACATCTACATGCTAAACCCATCAAATCAACATGCCTAATCTACCAATTCCATCAATCCATTATCTTTACCTAACTGTTCTTTTCAGGGTCATGGGGTGTAACAGTCAATATGTATATCACTGTTGTAGTACCTTTTTACTGCCACACAATGGCGCCTCTTCTGTTAAAATGTAGGATGTTGTGAATGTTAAGAGTCCAGATCTAAAGACTTGCTGTGTGTACGCACTTAGCTGCTCTGCTGATCAACCTTGGTAATGAATGGTACAGKATTTATGGACTAGAATCTATATATTCCTGTATGAATGTAGATTTAGCGCCGTGAAGACCTGGCTTTRTATGGTTTCAAGTCTAATAAAGTATATGTGGGATCCAAAAWGTTGTCGCTCTTTTCGGAGCTACACCATATCACATGGTTTATGCTAAACTAGCTCTCCTCCTACGCACAACCATCGCATTACAGGGGGTCACTGGTGCCCACATCCAGCAGTCACTTTGTGAGGGGCGGGGTACACCCTGGGACAGGTCACAAGTCCATCACAGGGCCACACATAGAGACAAATGAGACAAACAACCATTCACTCTCTTACCTAGGGATTATTTAGAAAATCTAAGGCCATAAGGTTGTAGAGAATGTAATATAGAATCATTTATCAAAGATTATGTAATCTGTGACTCCTCCTCCTTCAGTAATGATGCCCAGTTCGAGGTGGCCTACTACTCCAATGTTATTGTATATGAAGACGGTCTCTGCTACTGGTTACCTCCGGCCATCTTCCGTTCTTCCTGTTCCATCAACGTCAACTACTTCCCCTTCGACTGGCAGAACTGCACACTCAAATTCACGTAAGTTAAAAGATTTATGTAACACGCATTAGGCCAGTTGGTGCCATTTTGATCACAATACATAATCAGAGTATGTTTTGACAGGAAAGATTAAAACCAACTTCAATATTCTTGCATCCAAATAACATAGCACCCAAACTCTTTTAATCATTTTAACTTATTTTTACTGGTTACTGTTTTGGATAAAGAGTCATTTTTAGCTATTGTTTTGCTGCTTTTTGCTACCATTTTTATAATTGTTGAACCATGTTTCATGTTTTTTGGTTTTAGCTCTTTGACGTACAATGCCAGAGAGATCAAGATGATGTTGAAGCAAGAAGGAAGCGAAACAGTGGAATGGATCATTATCGACCCTGAAGGCTTCACGGGTAACATTTCACATTAAACCAAAGACATCTAATGATTAGAAGAAATTGATGTGTTGGGGATCAATTTCAGCTTCTACCACACCAAATTTTATCATTGGACCCATTAAACAAAAGACTTCTTATGATTGCCCTTTTAGAAGGAAAACAAAAAGCTCTGGTTGTTAAAATGCAGCTGTAATCTGGGTCCACGGTGGTCCTGGACAGTATTATCGGAGCCTCAATGATCCAAATCTGTGTTTGGGGCAGAGAACGGCGAGTGGGAGATCATCCACCGGCCGGCCAAGAAGAACACCTACCGTCACATTCCCAAGGAG